GCTGCTGCAGCTGCTAGTAACTGTGTGCAGAATACTTCTTATGCAGTACCTTGCATGCGGTTGCCTTAAATAGCAGCTAAACAAAAAGTGTGAAGGCCAAAAAAGCTTATACAGATGAGATTAACCTCAGGTAACCTTGCAACCTTGCAAAGAACAGACAATAAATCCAGGAGTAAAACTCCTCTATGTCCAAGTGGGGTCCTCTGCAATGAGTACAACATTGTCTTCTGGAATGCTTCTGTGACCCAAAATACCAACGCTGCCCATGTCTGCTGTGATTAACCACCGAATTTTCTGCATTCATGTCTTGCTGTTGTTTACTAACCTGCTTCAGCTGACCCTTTAGCTTAAAAATTGGCTGGAGAGTCAGGGAATAGTCTTTTTCAGAGTCTGGTTTTCTTCCCTCTGCACTCCAGAGATTTTCTTGCTAAGCATTTTAAAGTTAAATGCATCAGGTTTGTATTTTGGCTATTATGCTTGCTGTAGTCCCTAGGTTCCCATTTAGAGTTGATCTTGCTCTTATCTGCCTAAACTGTCATAAATAATCATACTAAACCCAGCAAAGGTTGAAGAGTCTCATATTTGTGTATTTCAAGTCACGTAGCGTATTGTAACCATCAAGAACAAATGTGGGAATAAAAATGACTGTATTCAACATTCATCTTTTTGTTTATGCTAAGAAGAGATTTTAAGTTCCTGGGTTAAGTATTGAATCTTATTGAGCTTCTTGGAATCAGCTTCTCTTTCTGTCTACAAAAATAAAATTCATGTGTATCATTTCTAGTTTTTACAGCCTCATCCTCCAGCCAGTGCAAAATGTGGCTGCCTGGCATCTTCTTCTTCCCAGTCCCTCATAGTGTCACTCCATGGCTCCTCAGATGCCTTTTGGCTCAAAAGCAGACTCCACTCTTGCCTCTCAAATTAATTTCCAGCTCTTCCCTTTTTAATGAGTGTTGCTGCTTGTGCCTGTATTCATGCTAATCCCCTGTTTCTATCCATTTGATGCTGTTTAGGGATGGATAAAGTTATCAAATAACATCAAGAAATGATAAAGGTCTGTCCTGTGCTAGCCATCTGGAGATGGGCTAGAAAGTGGTAAAATAAGTTAATGTTTACCAAACATTATAAACACTGGTTGCAGTATTTCCTACTCTTGTGACTGGAGGCACTGAAGGTATAAAAGAACACGAGGATGATGATGTTATCCCAGATTAATGACAGCCTTCTTCACCCCCTAGATCTCCAATGCTATCCAGGCCAAGAATGCTCACTCATTCCAGTGGAATTTCTGGAGCATGCAGTACAGCTTCATTGTGTGTGCTTTTGTTGGTGTCTTTGGAGGAGGTTTTTTCCTCCTGACGTCTTTCTACATTGAGGAAGATCGTAAGGAAGCGGAGCGGCTTTGAGGTTTCTATATATCTTTATAACTTTTAAATCTGTATCTGATTGCTTTCCTGTTTATACACTAGCCATCATATTGGCTCTGTAAAGTTAAAACATATATCTCTGCATGATGTTAATACCACGTTAGTTTCTATAAAAAAATAAAGGCAAAATCCCAGCAAAGTCTCAGAGTAAACAAACCTCCCATACTGAGCAAAACAGACTGCAGAACACACAAGGATCAGGGAAGTGCTATTAGTGACACCTTCAAAATCTGCAGTCTGTGGAGGTAACAGAAGAGCTTTACTGTAGGTAATGCACCACCACAGACTTCATGGAAGGTGTCGTTCTTTTTCTACTCTGGTCTTTCCGAGCCCAGGTAGAACCAGTCCTATCTTTCTCCCTCTTCCTTGGAAGAAGTCATATTCAAAGTGTGAAAGACTTAAAGAAAACCTATTGAATTGGACAGAACGCTGTCCTAAATCACCTGATTCTTACAACTTCCTTCTGCTCTGACTTGGTTTTCTAGGTACCACAAATGAACACTGTCTTTCAGATGCAGATGAATTCCGGGGCAAGATTCACAAAGAAGAAAAGAATGCCCTCCCCTTTTTCTTTCCTTTTTGCTTAATGAGATACAGCTAGAGAAAAGGCCAAATAACAATTCTTCCATATGGCAGAAAATCCTGCTTACTGACTTTTTTGGATGCTTTTGACTGTGAGTCAAAAATTGCTACTGCATTAGCATATGGCAACCCTCCCCCATCTGCAGAACAGGCAGGAGTATTCTGTGAGCTGGGGAGCTGCAAGAGGTGGTGTATAGAGCTGTCACAGGCACGTCTGCTAACCTGAACGAGACAGTAGCATTTAAGGCAGAATGGCTTGTGGAGATGAGGAAGGGAGGCCTATGAATTCTCAGCAGGGTAAGATTTGCCTGTAGAATTTGGAAAATGTAGGTAGTACAAAAAGTATTTTCAGTTGTCTGAAATGACCAGGAGAAGCAGAAACTATCAAAGTCAATGTCAGATTCAAGAGTGGAGGGTTGTGATAATTTTATATGTAATATGTTAACGGTCTCTTTATAATCCTTGGAGGCTCTTAGGTGTATCCTCAGGCCTTGGGTAAGTATTTCCTCTCAAGAGTGAACAGTGGTAGCAGTAAAACCACTTAAATATAATGATCCATTTGAGCTCTTATCTCTAAAGTGCATAGGACTTTGGATGTGGTATCTCTTGTCATAATATCATGCCAGGTGCCGAACAGGACATGATTAGTGTGGCCAACCTTCATTGTTTGAAGTGGTGTCATTCCCAGCAGCACCTTAAAGCCGAAGCCTGAGGAAGATATTAGCAAGTGAATTGTGAAGTACTCTGAATCTTGCCTGAATCTCCCAGTAAATCATAAGGATCGTAAAGCGCACTATTCCTGTAATGACTGTGAATATCTAATGTCATTATAAATAGCATAATTCAGCAACTGCAGGTTTTTGTTTCTCCCTCTCTCTCCCTCATTTTTAAAAAATCTGTTCTGAAACCTGACTTAAACCCAGGTAGTGAAATTTGGCCAGAGCTTATGTCATTATGGGAAATAATAGAGAAACTTTTTTATGATTCTCAGTAAGAGTGTAATAATTGTTTTTAAAATAAAAGTTGGTATTCTGAAAGACTGAGCAACTTGTTCCGGTTGTGAAAACTGGGCAAAGCCATTATACCACTGACTTTTTGAAATTCATGTAGTGCCAGAGAACCCATGTCCAACAAGGGATTTTTACTATTGGATATGGCCACATCAGCTTGTAAAGGTCCAAAGTGCTTGTCTTAACATTTTCCAGACTACTTTAAGCTATCTGGTAGCAATGTTTGGATTGAAACCTCTTCTTATATTCGGCAGACCCAGTGAAATTTATAGCATTTGTCTTCCAGCTAGAGGGAGGACGATTCACTTTGCACTGATGTCTTATCATAGGATGAATTTGGGAGGTCTAAAAACATTCTTTAAAGCCTTCTCAATGCATTGCACACGTGAGGTTGGACTTGCGAGACCCTGAGATTCATCTGGTTCACTGTTACTGTCCCATGTGTGCTGTTTGACGATATCCACGTGGCTCTGTCAAACAGCTGCTTTGTCAGAAAGTTAAATTGTGAGATGAGGTGAAACTCTTCAATGCAATATATTGTACAGCAGTACCTGCCCTAGATACCATTTTCTGTTACATCACTTTATGCCCAGAAACTGGTAGAAGAGTTCTGTGAGAAGTGCACATCAGTATTTGAGGCCATAAATTTTGATGTTGTTTAATTCTGTGATATTTGCTGGTGACAACAGTGCCAGATTCTTCCTTAGTATTTTATCAAAATTTCTCAGAAGCTGCACAGAAGCCTACTGCCATGAAGATTTGCATTGTGCTTCAAGTACACAGTATATAGACATGTACATTATGTACAGCCTAATTCTGAAATTTGGAATACTGGTATTAGGTAATGATTTTATTTTGGTAAAGAATTGTAAGGTAACCTGATACTAGGAAAGGTGTTGAGCTTGGATTTACAGAGCTCTGAGGATCAGTAATAGAATCACAAGATTCTACCTCTGTTGCCAAACCCTAGAGATAAAGTTTGTAATCACTAAAATCATTGACATCTGCAAACCAGGTGCCCCCAGCACCACAGCTGATTCCTTGAAACGCAGGCAGCCAGGCCAAGATTTTGAGAATAATTTTCCCCATTATTCAGCTATGGTAGGTTTTAAGCAGCTTGAGAGTACTTCTCCATTGGTATGTTCATGATTTGCACTCTAAACAGATGATGTATTTATCACTTTTGTTAAGTCAGCATTAAATTCTTTTAAAAAAATAAATAAATCGGAAACTGTATCTAGAATACTGTGGAGGCACGCGTTTGACATATGAGCAAGAGATGCCAAATGCTCCTCTGCAGACGGTACATGAAGTCTGTGACAAACTCATTCCTACTCCTACTCTTATCTCCTTTGTGAAAGTCACTGCCTGGAAATTAGCAGGATCGCACTGACTAGTTCAATTCCAGCTTTTCAAATGCTTCTCTCTTTATTTTGTGAGGTAAGGGGAGAAGACTTCTATTTTTGTCAATTTTTTGTCTGCATTTTAGTAAGCCTAACATCCAAGCCAAGAGGCGGGATGCTCTGCGCTGTGCCCGGGCCCTGCTGGAGCTGCACTGTCCTCTGTCTTGCTGAGAACTGCTGACTTAGAGGTCATGCAAAGGTGCAGTGCCTGTGTGAAACAGCCCTGGGAGGCTCTGCCTCCAAAGCAGGGAAACTCTTTCCATCATCTCTTTGGCTCTGTCTTAAATAAAGGTAAAACTTCCTTACTAGGATATGTAAAAGGAGTAGAATTTCTTAAAATTGTTTGTATGTCTTGAATTTGCTTCTTAGCAGGTGGCACCAAATTCTGCACTGGAGGGGTCTGTTGTGCATCGTAGCTATTTAAGACCTCACGCTTTTTGCATGTCATCAAAAACCTGTATTAGAGAAAGTCATGGAGTCCTGTCATGCAGCCAGCAAAAGAACACACGTTCTCTTTAGGCATCAATTGAAATACCAGTTGTTTTCTATGGTTAGAAACTGGGTAGAAGTAAGAAAAAAGGCGGGGCTTAAAAAAGTTAATAAATTTGTCGCTGTATCTAGACTGGGAAGAGCTGCTGCTGGAAGCTGCTGGTCATTGAGATAGTTTGTTCTGCAGTGTTCAAGCTGCTTGGAATCTGTGTCCCTGGCATTAAATGAATGACAATCAAACAAGTTGACAAAACTGGTATCTTCTGGAGCTGTTTATGTGTTCTCCTCCTACTTTGAACATTTCTTCTTTGCTCTTTCCAACCAAAACATTGTGTAAGAGGCACTTCAGAACAGTTCCAAAAGGTGAGATTTTGTGAGTCCACTCAGGTAATGATTTTGATCTTTTCCTCCCCTTCCCTCATTCCCAAAGCAGGGGCAGGTGATTGGTACTGACCTTTAGGGCTGTTTATGTGGATATTTTTTTAAAGAAGTTTTAGAACTCTGCTTGGCATAAAAAATGCCTTCAGAGTCGTGATTATTTCTAGCTTCTGCTAAATGCCTGTGAAGGCATCACGTGGGCAGGACATGTCTAAGATACAACAGTACCATGGTGTGTAACTGCTTCTCCAGCGTGGTTCCTTCCACCAGTGATGTTGTCTGAGATATTGCTATTAGCAGAATTTTAATTGTCAAAGATGTTTGTGTTGGGTTTGTGTGGCAAGGTTT